CTCTAATGGGATGCAGGGTTGAACAGAGACAGGCAGCCAAGTATACTTGGCACAACTGCACCCTCTTTCCTTGTCATGAACTAAAGTCATGTTGCTTAAAGTCCATAATCAGTTTGTTAGCCTACATTGTTTCAAATTGTCATGAACCCTGAAGTACTTTGGGCATTTTTTTACTTGTAATTGCAAAATATACCTTTAAAAAGAGGATTAATAGAGCCAGAAGTGGTTGCAGTTGTGAATTAATTGGCTGTCTTGAGAAAGAAAGACCACAGAATTTTAAACCTACGGATGGTTGTAACAGAATGAAGCTGCCAGTCTCTAAAACTGTACAGCTTCAACCTAATAACAATGGAAACTCCCCCTTATTCCCCTGACTCTGTACAAACCACTCCTTCAGCCCTGAAAATATTTGCCCACCTCCCTTGCCACTGCTGACAGTATTCACCCCTTTGAATTTGCACAGGAGTAATGTGAAATCAATGCTGTTGTGCATGCACTGCAACAGACTTTATTGAACGTAACTATATACAGAGGATGGAAAAACACAACATTGTATTTGGACCCTTACATACTCAGGCTCCAGTTCCATGAGGACTGATGTCATTTTGTCATATCTCCCTGTGTACATGCTCAATAGCTATGCCCAGAGCGATGGTACAATTTCCTATACACTACAACATCTATGAAAATGCTCAACCCCCTCCCTCTCCCCGACCTCCATTTTAGCACCTTACAGTTTCTGAAAACACTGACTCTTTTGACATCAGCTAGGCAGGAGCTAGGGATTCTGGAAAGTGTGTGATTAGAAGACACTGTGACAGCAGGATAAGCTCCGTTCAGGGACAACAGTGGTCAGCACTATTGCTATCATTTAATAAACTACATTGTGTTGTTTATATCCACACTGTGTTATCTCAGACTTCAGCATCGGCAGTTCCTACTATCTCATTGTGTTGTTTACAACAAGTGCCTTTTCCAATTAAGGACTCAGATTTGGTTTATCCTTTACCATCTCTAATCATTTAGACACTTAGGCTCAGCATACAAAGGGGGATTGCCTTTAGAGGTAGCGGGGAACTGCAGGGGCTGGAGTGCATCTTTACCTCGAATAAGATTATTTTGATTTGACTTGGATAACTTTCCGTTTCAGTTCTATAAGTTTCCCTTGATGACTAGATTTTATTTTTGTTACAGTGCCCCTCAGGAGCTGTCTGCTCTCATTGTGTTTAATTATTTTAGTAGAAAGGAAGATTTGTGGAGAGGACCAGGCCAATGCAAAGGTCTCCTTATGGATCTGCTCCTGGGCCTGACCATGGTAACCATGAACAGGTTCAGGCAGCAGGCTGTGGAGATGTTTCTTACAGCTGACTGCCTGCCTGCCTCTTTTCTGTGATTTTGTGTGCACCTGGGTGTCCTTGGAGAGGGACCACTAATGTCCACCAGTAAACCTCAGGCTGTCTGGGTCTGTGGCTTCCACAGAGGCTAGGTTATATCATCACCCTTTCACAATGAAATGTTAACTTATGTCTCTTAGTTTCATTTATGGTTTGGACATTGGTTACAGTTGCTTTAAGTGGCTGCCAATATTCATTGTTTAATTGATTCAGATGCTTATTATTTCAAATGGTAGAAAAGAGGATTGGTGGTGACAGTCCACCCCAACCACAATCTGCCAGTGGTTGGTATTGTGACATATGACAATGAACGTTACTGGGTGGGAAGTGGGTGGGCTGCGAGTGCTGTGGTGGTTCTTGTACGTTGGCACTTCAGCTAATTTACTTCAGGTTACACTGTGCAGCAGGCATTAGACCCTGTTGCGAAAAGCTCTACAGCTCGATGATTCTGTCATTGAGGCCACGGAGCATTCTGGCTGCGTTAATTTGGAAAGCAGAAATTTTAAACTTCCTGTGCGAGTACCACAGACGTCCGCGTGTTGTGACTTTTTCAGTGTCTTGACGCACATCGGTTATTTATGTTGAAGTAGAGGCATCTTCCCATATTGGAAGATTTAAGCCATTATATTTTTCCTGGGAGCCAGTAAGTCCAATGGTTTAGAACAACACCAAAAACATGGATTCACCTCCTGGTCTGGCTGAGGTAGTATGGACACTTGACACCTTGCTCTACCTTTGAGAGTGGAAGGCAATGGCAAACTAACTAACCACTAACAAAAACTGTCATGTAAAGAACTCAGGAAAAAGCATCAGCAGACAATGAGCAAAGGCTGTGTCTAAGGCTGAGCACTCTTGTGTTGAATGAGGAATAGCCAGGTGTTTCACCAGAAAGCTATTTTTCCTTCACAAGTTGTAATACTTAATATGCTGTTAGAAATTAAATTTAATGGGTGTTAAGTTGCAGAATGCATCTTTCACAAGGTTATTATGTGCGCAATCAATTATGAATCTCAATCAGCAGGGTAGAAAACAAATATCTGAAAGTAATCTATTTTGTGACAATATGTGAAGAACTTATTCTCAGGTTAGGAAACAGATGTTGGGACGACTTGTGGGTCCCAAGACTGTATTGGCGAGGAAAGCAGTGACTCTTTGGAATTGTTGTGGGGAGGCCTCCTTAATAGGCATGGAGATAGGTTCCCAGTCTAATTATGGTGACAGGCAGACTCTCAAAGCTGAAATGCCAGTCTGAGGCCTTTCAGCATGGAAAGATCAGGAGGATGCATTTATTTATTCATTCATGGAATATGATTTGGTTTGATTTATTGATATTTTTTATGTACAAAATAAAAGTGTTGTGTATTGTCGTCACTCTCCTATGCCATCTTAAAACACAGGAAAATAAATTAAGACGAGGAATATAAAGGCAGAAAAATAGCGAAAATAAAGAAAAAGTGTTTGACTTTATAGTCCTTCTTGTTAAGTGCTCTACCATGGGCATTACTAGCTAGATCAGCATTAATTGCCCATCATTAATTGCACAGAGGTCAGTTAAGTGTCAACCATATTGCTAAGGCTCTGGAGTCGTATGTGGGAATTACATTAGTAGAAGGACGTTACTGAACAAGATGGGATTTTTACAATTGTTCACGATCGCCAATCATCTGGCATTTGTTAGTTGAGACTTTTTTTTATTGGATTCAAATCTTACCATTTGCCATGTTGGGATTGAAACCAATACCCGGAGAACATTAAGATGGGTTTATAGATGTAAGTGCAGTGACATTGCCACCCTAACCCTGACTACTGCCACCTATAAAAGGCAAATAACTGAGAGGGTGTTCCAATATGGACTTGCCCACCCACCAATCATTTTAAAACTTTCAAATATAGCAGTCATTGGTAGGGGTGGTGGGATTGTGGGGTGGCAGGTTGAGAGAGCTGGGGCATGTGAGATTGTTGAGAAGAATCAGGAATGTTTGGTTACAGAAGCAGGCAGGGACGGCCAATAGATTTCCTGTAGTGTTGGCAATCCAACCTGTTGCTGAGTGCCCGTCTACCAACTACCCACCTTCATGTCAGAAAACTGCAGGCCAACTGGACAATTGGGGTAAGGTAGTCCTGCCATCCACAAGCCCACTTTGGCAGAAGTAGCCAGCATTGTGAACAGGGTGGGGAAATCAACATGCCACTAGGTCTAGTACATTCAGGGCCTGCTCACCTCCATTCCCTTCCTTGAGGGGGACCAAAAATCCAGTCCCACGTGTTGACAAAGCAAAGCTTCTGTTAATGTTAACTGTTACTGCCGTCCCTAGATTACACATTATGTTCCTCTTTCTATCATCGATAGTTTTATGTTCTCTGCATTGTCCAAGATGATCGTCCTCTTATGATTCAAAGTATTTACTGCCATTCCCTCATTATCCTCGAGAAGACACTTGTGATCGACATCCGCGAACAGCTACAGTCCATTTGATGTAAGTACACTCACAGTATTGTTAGGCCGGGAGCTAACTTAATGCTATTGCCCTGCATTATTCATTTTCTGCTGTAAAATGGTTACAATCTTCACCTAAATGTACAGGATATTTTCTGTTTTTGCTTTTGTTTGCTTCTGTTTCATTTAGTCACCAGATAGGGGCATCACTGGTGAGGTGATGTTTGTTGCCCATTCCTAATTGCCCCATAGGAAGTGGTGGTGAGCTGCCACCTTGAACTGCCACAATCCATTTGATGTAAGCACACACACATTGCCAATAGTTAGGTTTGGACTTTCAGGATTTTGACCAAATGACAGCAAGGTAATGGTGATATGGTTTCAAGTCAGGAAGGCAAGCAGCTTGGAGAGAAAATTTCAAGTGGTGGTGTTCCCATTTATTTGCTCTCCTTTTTGTTCTCGGCAGTAAGGTCAAAATCCTGGTACTCGCGCCCTAATAGTACTGTGAGTGTACCTACATCAAATGGACTGTAGCTGTTTGAGGATGTCGATCACAAGTGTCTTCTCAAGGATAATGAGAGAATGGCAGTAAATATTGGGCCAGCCATTGATGCCTACATCCCTGGAATGAATAAAATACATTTTTGCATATTTGGCAGGGATTATATGAAGTGGATAATGTGGTATTCTTTTCTGTACAAGATTCTGCTAAATTTACATTCATAGGTTATGAAGTTTCTGGATTTGACTATTCACCCAATTCATGGTGAGGGTGGGTAGCCATTACTGTGGTAACTGAGTCCCTGCTAGTGTATGTAACTGGGGGGGGGGGGGGGGGGGGGGGGTTGGTAGGCTTTTAATATTAAAAAATAAAGTTTATACAATGAAAAAAAAAACAAAAAGA